GGGGGACCTGGACAGAGTGAGGAAGCAGCGGCAGGCATCCAGGTAAGGCCAGGGACCCAGGCCACGCCCCTCCCAAGCTGAGGGAAAGCAAAGGAAAATCCAGGGGAGGGGACCAGGACAAGGCGAGGAAGCAGTGGCAGGGATCCAGGTAAGGCCAATAACCCAGGCCAGGCACCTCCCAAGCCAGGGGAAAGCCAGAGAAAGAAGAGAAAAAGCCAGGGGGGACCAGGACAGAGTGAGGAAGACAGCGGCAAGGATCCAGGTGAGGCAAGGGACCCAGGCCACACCCCCAAGTGGCAGGAAAGAGGCAGGGATCCATGTAAGAGGAGGGTGGAGAGGTTTCGAACAGCTAAGGGAGACAAACTTATCTGTCAGTTTGAACTACTAAGGTGGTGTTCTGCTGTGAGGATTGAAGCTGTGCCACCGGTGTCTCAAACCCATCAGGGATGCACGTGGTACACAGGTTTCGATGCACCTTACAGACTGAGACAGAGTAGGAAGAAGGAAGAGGCCATTCACTTCTTAAAGAATTGGCCAGGGAAAACCTTATGAATAGCAGAGAAACACTGTCTGATACATTACTGTGCAACTTTATGAACAGCCCGGAAATAATTGTCCAATACAGTGCAGGAGGATAAGCCACTTAGGTTGGAAGGCTCTCAAAATAAGACTGGGGAAGAACTGCATCATCAGAGTAGAACCAGCCTTACTGATATGCATAAGGTAAAACTTTCGAGACCTCCATTTGCTGAAGTAGCACGACTCAAATTGAGGAGAAACAGCTGCATAATCACAACATGGAATGTACAAAGTATGAATCTAGGAATATTGGAAGTTGTCAGAAATGAAATGGTACACATAAAGATTGGTATCCTAGGCTTTAGTGAGCTGAAATGGACTGGTTTTGGCCATTTTGAATAAGACAACCAAGTGGTCTACTATGCCGGGAATAACAATTTGAAGAGGAATGGCATGGCGTTCATCATCACAAAGGATGTTTCGAGATCTGTCCTGAAGTACCATGCTGTCAGTGACAGGATAATATCCATACACCTACAAGGAAAACCAGTTAATATGACTATTATTCAAATTTATGTACCAGCTACCAAAGCCAAAAGTGAGGAACTTGAAGATTTTTTTATCAGCTTCTGCAGTCTGACATTGACCGAACATGATGCAATCAGGATGTGTTAATTCTCACTGGTGACTGGAATGGGAAAGTTGGAAACAAAGAAGAATCACCGGTAGTTGGAAAATTTGGCCTTGGTGATAGAAATAATGCTGGAACTCGCATGGTACAATTTTGTAAAACCAACGACTTGTTCATTGCAAACACCTTTTTTCAACAACACAAAC